AGACTTATTACTGACATTCATCTGTATTTTCTTGTTTTTCTATCCCTCTTTTATATTTGAGGGCTCCTAAGGGGACTGACATCCTCTGCTTATTTGCTGAAAAGCAACAGACCCTATTAACCCTTTGTTTCACAAAGGAAGGGCAGGGACCCCTGATGATACAGAAGTTCTGAGTGGTAGGAAGGTATCTCTCGATCAAACTGTAGAGAGGAAAGGAGCCCCCTTTGAAGTTTCCTTCAGTTACTATGACTTTATTCACGGAGACAGCTTTGGGCTGGTGCAATTATGTTTTCAATTGCTTCCCTCTTTCTGCAAGCAAAAGGGCTGCCAGGGCAGGAAGCAGAGCCTAAGCAGAAGCCTACCACGGCTGCCCTTCACTATACTTACCTCGAGACTGCCTTCTGTTGTTCATGGGATGCTTTTGCATTAATACCTGAGAGAGAAAGCTTCCTTTAAACAAGGAAAGGAAACTGAAGTAAAGCCACACATCAGTAGTTTAAATGCAATTCACAAATAAGGAATTTGATAAGGAGATAGCAATCAAAATGAGGAGCACATCTGTTCTGGGGTCCCAAGGAAAGTGGCGTGAAGCTCTGGGGAGGAAGAGACTGCCCCTGCGGGTTTATCAGTGCACACTGGACTGTCCCCACAGGTCCATCAGGCCTTGATTGCTGTCTGTCTTGTCACTGCAGTATAAAAACAACAGCACAGAAATAGTAAATGTGCAATTTGCTCAGGTGATGGCCCAGGCAGTAGGAAGACCATTTCAGAACAGGATTCCAAGTCCAGATAAATCCTGCTGGGAGGATGATTGATGTGGGAGGTTTCTAAGAGCAGATAACATTTCTTTGCAATGTTTGTGCAGAGGAAAGAGGCCCTTCCACAGGAAGAAGGTCAAGGCTGGTCTATTTTTATAAAAGCATTTCAAGTGGTTTAGTGGCCTTATTTCCTGTGGTTCCCAGGAATCCTGCAGCAGGCTTCCAGGAGGATGTTGGTGATAGGGAGCAGAGACTTGCTGAGTGACAATCAATAATTATCTCTATATTTGCTTCACTTTTTCCAATAAAAATAATCTGGGGGAAAAACATTTGCTCTAGAAGAGCAAAGGTCAAGACAACAAAGAGTAGAATGGGACACGAAAGTCCCTTAGTATTCGGCAGAGTCCCCAGGTCAAGATTTTGCAAGCTGAAGACTGATTTATTCACTCATTCCCTTTTATTCAACAAATAATCAAGCATCCCCTCTGTGCCAGGCACTGTTTATGGGCTGGGTAGAAGATGGTAAAATAAACATGGCTTCTACCTTCCAGGAGCTTACAGTCCACTGGGTGAGGAAGACATCAGACAGGTCAACACATGGATGGATATATACTTAATTACAAATGGTGAACAGGAGGTACAGAAGAGACTAATGGAGGCGGAGGTGGGGACAGAACTTAGATTGGGAGGTCAGGGAAGACCTTTGAGGATGTGGCTTCAGCTGCCATCTGAAGAGTAAAGAGAAGCCAGCCAGGGCAAAGTGCTAGAAAGTGAACAACAATGTATGAAGGCAGCCATGTGGAAGAGGCCACACTAGCCTCAAGAATCCAAGAGAAGACAGGAGTGGAGGAGAGGAGGAGTGAGTAGAATGCAGAGGGTAAAGGGAGGGAATGGTGGGAGGTCAGGCCAGACCATCCAGGAGCTTGCAGGCCATCGTAAGGATTCAGACTTTACTTTATGGGAATGAGAAACTATAGAAGGCTACAAACAAGAAGTTGATGTAGGTTTTCAAAGAGATAAACGTGATGGGAGGGGCCATGGATTAGAGAGATGGCTATTTCAGAAGTTAAGACAGCAGACTGGACTGGGTGTTGACAGTAGGTACTAAATACATAAATTTGATAGCTCCTGATTTGACCGTAAGAGCTTAGGAATTCGACCAGCATACAGGGCTGGGACTAAGGTGAGGCAAGGGAGGCACTTGCTTTGGGCACAAAATTTACTCAGAAACCAAGATAAATAATATTTTAGTGCAATATTTTTTATTTTTATTTATTTTTAGAAATTTTCTTTTTCTTTTTTTTTTTTTAAAGGATTTTATTTATTTATTTGTCAGAGAGAGAGAAAGAGCAATTGAGCACAAGGGAGAGCAGAAGGCAGAGGGAGAGGCAGGCTCCCCGCTGAGCCAGGAGCCCGATGTGGGACTTGATCCCAAGACCCTGAGATCATGACCTGAGCTGAAGGCAGCCACTTAACCAACTGAGCCACCCAGATGTCCCAAGTGCAATATTTTTTGAAGTTTATGTGTTTCTTAAGGAATCTCTACATCCAGTGTGGGGCTCAAAGCCATGACCCCGAGATCAAGAGTCATGTGCTCTTCTGACTGAGCCTGTGTGCACCCCCTTTCATGCAATATTTTTTTGAAAAATCAAATTTAGGGAAAAACAATCCTTGATGAGCAAAACAAATTTCTTTTAAAAAGACAGGATCAGCAACAGTGCTATGCCAAGCCACATAAGGAACCTGAGGCAAAAGGAAAACGTCTGTAATACTGATAGTGTTTATACTTAAAATTTTTATATTTTATTCATTTCCTCACTCTTGTTCTGGCTAAGCTGACCTTCCCCACCTGTAAACCAAGAGGCCACCACATCACCTTCTGCTCTTCAAGTAGACACTATGCAAAGAAAACTAACAACAAAAATCATCACAAGCCCCCTGGTGGTACAGATGCTACTCTTTTTCCTGATTCTGAGACAAAAAGTACACCACAGTCGCTCCATAAATACTTGTTTTTTTTTTTTTAATTTTTATTTTTTTAATTTCTTTTCAGTGTTCCAGAATTCATTGTTTATGCACCACACCCAGGACTCCATGCAATATGTGCCCTGCATAATACCCATCACCAGGCTCACACAACCTCCCACACCCCTCCCCTCAGTCATTCCATAAATATTTCTGATAGTGTTAATGGCTGATATCTATCAGGCTCTTCACATGTTAGGAACTTTGCCAGAAACTGGTAAATACAATGATCTCATTTTACCCTCACACCAATCGAGTGAGGAAGGTATAGCATTATCCCTGTTTTACCATGATTGGTGTTTACCATGATGGGTTAGCATTTAGTGAATACAGGAAGAAAGAAAGAAAGAAAGAAAGGATGTACAGATTGAAGGTTAAATGAGAGAAAAGAAAGTGACGGGCCTCATACTATTCCTTAGAAGTTCTATCTGGATAACCAGTGATTCCAGCTCTCTAGGCAAACACTCTTCTCTGACAAATACTAATTACCACACTTAAATGGACCTGTACAGAAAGGAAACTAAACTTAAATACCCACCTTTTTCCATAGGGATTATTTTTGTAAGTTAGGTGTTTTAAACCAAACAGCTTTCCTAAGAACATATTTCTTTAATTCATTCATTCCCAAATATTTACTGAGGAATCACTGTACATCAGGCACACGTCTGGGTGCTCTCACATGGGAGCAAATCAAGCCTGAATGTGGGTCCTCATGAGGCTTATAATCCATTGTGTGTGTGCATGTGCATGTGCGTGTTGGGAGATGTGTTGGCAAGAGACAGTCCATAAGAAGGAAGCAACCACAAACATAAGATCATAAATTATCGTAAGTGTTACAGAAGTATAGACAGGCAAGTGAGGGGAGCCGCCTAGATAGGGTGGGACCGACACAGTTAGACTCCGGCAGGCAGATATCCTGCTTCCCATAATACTTATGTTGCTGAAAATGCTGTGAAGAATTTTTGCAAACCAAATCCACCAAACTCCCACCACAGAATATGAAATTTTATAACCTAATGACTTACTCCTATGGAGAACTGTTTTGAAAAGGAACACTATTAACTTATTTTCTACCCAAACACATCTATGGGAAAGGTCTTCCCACCACTGAAAGATCAAGAATCTAATACTGGAAAACACTGGAAAATGTTCTGCCTTCTGTCCGTCCTATCCCTATGGGCCCATCTAAACATCTAGATTTATGGAATTCCTGAGGAGCCCCTTGAACCGGCCAACACCAAGGAGGAACCAAGGAATGTATGACCTTTAAAAGCTGGCAGAAATTACGCACAAAAAGATGGCAGCCTAGTGAAGTAAGAAATCCCTCTGACGTTTCTTCTTGCCTCCTGTTGCCTAATCTACTTTCAGAGGCCAATAATGTAGAAATTGTCCATTTTTCAAACAACCCCACCCAACAGAGTAGTACTTTGATCTCAAAACATAAGTAAGGAGCAATGGATGGTGCAAGATAGAAATGGCTTTGAAAGGTCAGTCAGAAAAAAAGAAATAAACAAGGAGAAGAACCATGAGGAGTTGAAGGAATGAAAGCAAACCCTGCTTTGAACTACCTGCCAACTTGAATGCAAACTCCCCTGAGAGGCCATGGTTGGCAGATGAGCATACTATCAAGGTTACTGGTACCTACCAATGCTTGCGATGTGCAATGAGCACCTTCCCGGAGATGCTAGACACTGGGGGCAGAAATTTATCTCTTAGTTTACCCTCTTGGATACAAGATTTTAACACACTTCCAAGCTCTTTCATCCCTTATCAAACCCAGTCCTTGCCCAGGGCCTTCAGTGATACTCTCTTACTTCATCTCCTTCCCATAAAACCCACCTGGTTCCTGCCAACAGCTAGGCTTTGGACAGGGCTGTGTGTGGAACACCAATGACATGGCCAAAGGACTATGAGAGCCATTGGGCCTGCTGAAATGGGGCAAAATGTGCAGATGGGGGAATGGTCCCTTTTAGACTTTTTTGTGGGATCAAAGGGAGCTGGCAAATGAAAGGAGCCTCTAAAAATAGCCAAAGTCCTTAAAAAGAAATCATGCAAAAGGAAACAAGGTTTATACTGTCCTAATGTAGGCTCTGCAAAAACTAAGCCCTGGCAGGCAGGTGCTGGGACAGCTTATTATTTTCTTCCTGCCCTTTGGCGGAGACACCCACTGGGTCCCTTTGCAAATCCTGGGCCCTGCTCCCCCGCTTGCTTCCTGCATAGTGCTAGAAGCCTCTGCAGGAATGTAGCTCTCCTGGGGCACAGCCTGGGCCTCCATGGCCCACTTTCAAGATCCAGAATAGACTCTGACATGTGAAACAAGCTCCACGGGGTTTACAATCCTCCTTCATATCCAAGCACCTTAAACACAAAACTTCACACCAGGATTGCTAACCATTCTTCCAGAGATGCCTGGAGATCATCTGTCTGGCAGAAATGTGAGTTTTGTCCTTTTTACTCTTCAGTGTTCTGAACACACATGGGGCCCTTGGAAATGAGGCTGACCAACAGAAGGCTGACATAATAAATTATGTCTTAGGGCTCGGGGTTTTGCTCTTGGCTAAGCCACAGATTTGCTTTGGTAAGCTGTTCACCCTCTCTGTGTCACACTTCTCTTGGGTAGAGAAAAAGAGAAAGGGCTCATCTATCCCACGTCATAGGAGGAATAGGAAATAAACAATAATTACCAAGTATGTCTTGTAGCATCTACACACAACAGGCATCCAGAGATGCCTGCTTACTCATATGAAACATTTGGTGAGACTCCAAGTGCCATAAAAATGTAAATAACCAATGCCTGAAACCATAGGCTCACATGAACAACCATAACAATGCCTTATATTTCCCAGGCGCTAACTACAGGTGTGGCCCTTCCCAGGCCTTCCCGGCTCTAGTCCTCCCTCACAGCACTGCCACCAGATCAGCATGCTCAATGGCTCCACTTTACAGAGGAGGCATGAGAAGATCAGATAGGTTAATGACTTGCCCAGTCAGACAAATGGTTAATGAGACACAGCAGAAACCAAAGCCCAGCTCTACAAGAACTTCCCTTTATCCTGGCCTTTCCAGCCCAGTTGGAAGTAGGACTATCCACTCCATTCCCCCAGTGGGCTCTGGCCTCACCCCAGCCCTTTGAAAGCAATGGCAAGTGATTCTACTGTGACAAAGGCCAGGAGGGACTTGACTGCCATCTTGGGTCATCTTGGGGAAGAAGCATCACAGTGATGATCAGAAAAGTGTTGGTGGGGTATTTATAGCACTGAGAGAGGGGCCGTTCTGGGTAATGGGAGGAACCTGCAAAGGACTCCATTCAATAGACACAAGCATCTGTTGATGGGGCTACGGGAATTATAGGGACTGGGAGAGCAGGGGGGAGTAAACACAATAGAGAAGCTAAGGGTCAGTTATCCAAAGGGCCTTTTGTCTCTTTCCTGTATATCTTTGGCAGTTAAAATCATGAACTCTGTGGTTAGAAAACGCTACGTTCAGATCTTGACTCTGACACTGATTTATCTGCGTGACCTTAGACAAACTGTTTAAACTCTCCCAGCCTTGGTGTCCTGTGCTGCAAACTGGGGATAGAAAAGTCATGCCTTGAGTTCAGTTCAGGGCAGCCTCCCTGTTCAGTTAATTAATCTTTGGGACATGAGCAGGGTAAGGTAGATGATTACATAGAAAATACTACTCTATTCATTTATCTCTCAGCCGACAGAAAGAAAGAGAGAGAGAAAGAGAGAGAGAGAGAGAGGAAGGAAGGAAGGGAGCAAAAAAGGAAGGAAGGGAGAAGGGAGGAAGGGAGGGAGGGAGGAAGGAAAGAAGGAAAGGGAAAAGCAATGCCTATGTCACAGAACTTCACCAAGGATTAATTAAAATAATGTATGTAAAGCACTTGGGACAGTACCTGGTACATAGTAAATGTTCAAGAAAAGGTCACTACTTTTTGATTTATGAACTTATTTGATGATTTACGGGTATGTCCAGAACAGGCAATCGGGAAACACACGGTAGGGCAAGCCCTCAGCCTTTCCAAAGAGATAACAAACACATATTTCAAAAGACTGAGTTCGGAAAAGCCAAATTTTATAGGTCAGGAGGGAAGAACAAAAAACACCTAACAAACAGACCGTCTCCCTGCGAGCTGGAAGGTCTGCTATTTTCGGGAAAGGAATGTCCTTGGGGGCTGGTCCTGGAGATTGTAACTTGCACAACATTTTCAAAAGAGTTTCGGAGGGGGGCGCCTGGGTGGCTCAGTGGGTTAAAGCCTCTGCCTTCAGCTCAGGACATGATCCCAGGGTCCTGGGATCGAGCCCCGCATCAGGCTTTCTGCTCAGCAGGGAGCCTGCTTCCTCCTCTCTCTCTGCCTGCCTCTCTTCCTACTTGTGATCTCTGTCTGTCAAATAAATAAATAAATAAATAAAATCTTAAAAAAAAAAAAAAAAGTAAATGTGAAACATCCGACAGGCAGAGAAAACCATGGTTTAAAAAAAAAAAAAAAAAAGAATTTCGGAGGCACATCAGTGAGAACAGCCTTGAGGACGGCCCCGGAGCCCCTGCAGAACCACTTTGCATCTGGCTGGAAGCCCAGGGCTCTACAGCATCCGCCTACAGGCAGGATACTTCCACATAAGAAGTGTGGAGGTCTTCAGGCTGGCCCAGAACCGCAGGATGCTCCAGACTGAGGGGCACCCGCATGGCTCAGACAGGCCTGTGGCCTGCCAGGCACGTTGCTGCGCCGGGGAGTGTGCCATTTCTCCTCTTGGAGGGTGTTCTCTCCAAGCATTAAACTAATGCCTGACCTCCAACTGAATGATGCTCTAAGAGGGTGTGTGTTTTGGGGGCGGAAGAGCCAGAACCCTGGGAACAAATAACAGATACTGGAAGAGCTCCCCGGGAATGTGTGTGTCTCTGCTGTTTCCTATTCCTCATGAAGCAGTGCAGGGGCTAAGAGTGGGATTGAGCTGTTGGGTGAAACAGCTAAACTGGACTTCCAGGCTACACGTGGTCCATGCATCTCTGCCCCTCCAACCGGCAGCTCGGCTGGATCGACCTGGTATGGCCAGATTATAACCTCCTTAAAGACAGATAGTGATTTCTACCGCAAGCCCAGAATCCCTTCTCTAAAAAGCCTTAGGGCTAGGTATGTTTCTGAATGGAGACGCTGGGGGATTTTAGACAGGTGGTTTGGTATGTATATTGTATATTATGGAAGAACTTCAGTGGGGTCCGGGGCCATGCCCTGTCATCAAACACACTGGTGATTCTGCACCAGATTACACAAATATTAACATAAAGGGTGATAAATAAAGACTTTACATGGTCTCAGGACAGTTTGGATCAGGTTTGGCCCCAATTTGAGTTATGAAAGAATGTCTAGTTTTCAGAGCTTTTTTGCATCTCAGAATGTAGACTAGGGATTTTAGGTCTTTCTTTTCATTTCCGTTTCTTTCTCCTTATTTTCTTTTTTAAATTTCCAGAACAGTCTGCCTGTGGCAGGTGCTGAGTAGAAGTGGTTGGCATCTAGAGCATGACATCTTGATCTCCCTCAAATAATATTTAATCCTGGAAGCCAGGGGATGGTTTATTCTCAGTGACTTGGGGATTCTTGAGGATTAGAAGGATTCTAAATTAAAGAATAGGAGAGAAAGACATTGAACCCACAGGCTCCCTGTCATCCCGGACAGTAACACACAAACCCATGAATACACTGAGAATGGTGACTAGTACACAATATATTCAGTCCCCGAGTAAATGAGAGGAAGGCATCACGGCACATCAGCAAATGGTAAGCTTTAACTGATTGCTTAGAAAATGATATTTTAAAAAATATCGCTAAAATACTACTAAATGTTAAACTCAAGTTTGTTCAATGCTAAGTCAATAGCACAGGGGATTGGCAGAACAAAACAACAAGCTACACAGAAAATGATAATCAAGCTAACATCTGCGACTGCTTACAAGTTTTCAAATGCTGGGCTTAGCACTTTATACATGTGATCATTGAACACAGCAATTCTGCGAGGTAGCTAACAGGGCCCATTCTGCAGACAGGGAAACTGAGGCTCTGTGAGACCGAGTGAGTACTTTGCTAGTGAGTATCCAGCCAGGGCTGAAACCTGAGTCTAGTAGTATGCTGGTGAACCAGCTATCAGAGAAAAGGAGGGAAGGAAGGAAGGCGGGGAGGGGGATGCAGGGGAGGGAGGAAGGAAGGAAAAAACTGAAGGAAAAAAGGGAGCTAGAGGGAAAAAAAGAGAGAGAGAAAAAAGCCCTGATTATAGTATTTTCCAATTTCTGTGGTGTAAATAGTCTCAAAAGGATTAATTTCAAGCCCACTAATGATTTACTAACCTGAATATTTAAAAATTGGCTTTCACAAACCTGGAGGTACCTCCTCCTGTACACGTGGTTGAGTCTACCCCAGGGCCACATCCACAGTTTGCCAGACCAACTCTGGAAGATGAGCTTGCTGCTTATGGAACACAGCTTGCCCGGGAGCAGCAGACCACGATGCTAGCCCCACAAGTGAGCCACAGCCACATTCCTACCCAAGACCCAGTACAGACCCCTAAGGCAGGGAAGAAGGGGGAAATGACAGAAGAAAACCCTGTCTCCCTCTCTTCAGGCAAACTTTCCTTCACCAGAGGGTGTGAGGTGGGCTACCGCCAACCCAGCCCTCCCTGACAGAAATAATAAAACCTAGAGCTCTTTTTAGGCTTCACAGGCTGTTCTGCAGTACGATAAAGAAGTCAGACTTGAGACTAAAAAGATCTGATCCGTTTTTGAGATCCTTCAATTCCCAAATATCACCTTTGAAAAAGTAAGGAAGTGTCTTCTACAAGATGGGGTATATTTGGGTTCATATGTTTGGGTCTGCTTTTAACCAAGGGCAGGGTATTCCAGCCTAATTTGAACCCACTTAAAATACATTTGGGGTCTTGGTTTAGCCTCTCTGTTAATACCTGTAAGGACCCCACCTTCTAAGTAGGTCTTCTGATAACATGTTTCCACTAGAGGCTCCTATGAAAAGACTGGCCTGGTATTCAATCCACAAATACGCCAAGGGCAATGATTACATGTAGGCATTTGCTAATAAATTCAGGGCCTAGAAAAAGAGTCAGAGCTTCTTTCTGGAGCTTCAGAGACCAGTAAAGGAGACAGTCAGGTAACCTTAGTTAAATGATACTCAGTCACTCATTAAACGAATATTTATCAAGGGCCCATTAGATGCCAGGCATTTTTCCAGGCACTGGGCTGACAGATTGGTTTGGTGAGCAAGACAGATTGGTTTGTACTGTCGTGGAGCTGACAGTCCAGTCATAAAGGGAGAGATTAATTAAATAATCACAAGAATGAATGTGTAATTAAAAAATATAGTAAGAGAGATCGGAGGAAATGTTAGATGGTCCAATGAGAATGGGAGGAACCTGACCCAGTTCCAGAA